ATCAGCAGCATCATCAGCATCGTCATCATCATCCTCGTCCTGCTCATCCCTTTCCTCCTTCCCCCTCCGAAAATCGATTGCAGAGCTTTCAGCCTCGCAAGGAGGCATTCACTCCTATCTCCTTAATGTCTTCCCCCTATCTCCCCTCCCCAGGCGGGGAGGAAGGGAAATGAGGAGGGACGAGGAGGAGAAGGAGGAGAAGGAAGCGACGACGACGAGGAGGAGGAGGAGGAGGAGGGGGAGGAGGAAGAGGGAGGAGAAGGAGGAGGAGAAGGAGGAGGAAGAGGAGAAGGAGGAGGAAGAGAGAGGAGGAGGAGGAGGAGGAGGAGGAAGAAGAGGAGGCGGATGAGGAGGAGAAAGGAGGAGAAAGGAGGAGGAGGAGGAGGAGGACCCAGCCCACGTCACCGACGCTGCGGCAGCACCCCACCGCCCCAAGCCCCCATCCTCGTCTTAGCCTGCACACGTATCACGTATCACTGCCTCGACAGCCCGCGCGGACGAGAAAAGCACCTTGTGGGCCCGGCACGGATTCAGAACCCGCAGGAGGGCTGGAACGGGGAAAATCCGTACAGGTATCTCCGAGCGTGGTAAAAAATATATCAACAAATCACGAAGCCACCCATCAATCCACCCAGCTGGTCAAAAAAAAATCTAGCTTTGAGGTAATACGACTGAAAACTCCAGCGGGATCACTGGATCACAGCCTTGAAGGGAGCCGCCCTCCACCCGTTCAACTTATGTTGCCTCTCACTTTGGGAACCATGACACCTGGCGAAATTGCACGCGAGAGCTCGAGCTAGTGAAGGAACCAGCATCCGCACAACTGCTTGGAAATACTGTTTTGGCGATAACCACAGTTCGAAAATCGAGGGCGATAACCAAATTGTCAAACGAGGAGACACCCACCAGCTGCGCAACGATTGGAAACCACCTGATTTCACGCATAACAGTCAACCAAGTCTCAAGCGAGAACGAGATGTTCAAAACGAACTGCCTTCCGCACGCACGCACACACACACACACACACACACACACACACACACACACACACGCACGCACGCACGCACGCACGCACGCACGCGCACGCGCACGCACGCACGCACGCACGCACGCAAATCGTTTAATGCGGCGGCGCAGAGGGTTCTCAGGCGCGAACGGCAGATGGAAGTGCCAATTGCGATCGAGTATTATCGAAGTGCACACACATTCATGCAACTGCTACAACAAACCAACGTTTGGATAATGGAACATGATTGACAAGGAGGTCTCAGGCGATAATTGGATTTTGATGACTGTCCGCCCTCCATCGGTGCGGCTATTGGAGATGTCCAGCTTTGCTTTGGAGTATTCATAATGATAAAGTCTCGGGCGAAGCGACCACCGTGCGGGCGGCAGCTCCGCAGGGTAGAGAGATGAAGGAGCAGGAAGAGAGAGAAGGAGGGAGAGAGAGAGAGAGAGGGGAGCGTCGAGGACAAGCTCGTGGGTCCCAGCTTCCACCTGGAAACTTCGCGCGGAGCCGCTGCTGCCGCGCGCGGTGCAAGCTCGGTCCTTCGAGCGTCAGTCTGAAACAGCCGCGCGACTGGCGTAAACTCGGCCTGTCCGCGAAGGAGCAGGAGGAGCAGAGGGGAGGAAGTGCTTCCTCTCCTCCCCCCCTCCTCCTCCTCCCCCCTCTCCTCCTCCTCCTCCTCCCCTCCTCCTCCTCCTCCTCCTCCTCCTCCTCCTCCTCCTCCTCACCCTCGTCCTCCTCCTGCTCCTCCTATGCCTCCTCCTCCTCGTCTTCCACCTCCCTCCCTCCTCATCCTCCTCCTCCTCCTCCTCCTCCTCCTCCTCCTCCTCCTCCTCCTTCTCCCTGCCTCCCTCTCTCCCTCCCTCCATCCCTCCCTCCCTCCTCCCTCCCAACTCCTCCCTCTAGGTCAGGGGTTCCCGCCTCCTTTTTTCAGTTCGTTTGTCTTACCCCCTGGTTCTGGCTGGGGGGATAAGACGAGCCCGCATGGCGGGCGCCCTGGGCTGTGGAGCTACATATAGCCTCGCGCACCCCCCCGGCTGTCAGGGTCATGCACCTTACTTTCGTGGGTGGCCGATCGGGTCCGGTCCCTCCTCCCTCCCCCGCGCGAAGGGGGCTCGCGCGCGAGGAGGGAGGAGCGAGCAGAGAGGAAAGAGAACGAAAGAGGGACGAAAGGAAAAGGAAAGGAGTGAGGCAGGAGGAGGAAGGAGAGGAGGGAGCGGAGAAGGCGGGAAGAAGAGAAGGGCGAGGAGCGAGGAGCGAGGAGCAAGGAGCGAGGAGGGAGAAGGGAGGACAGAGGAACCCTAAACCTTAAACCCTAAACCCCAAGCCCTAAACCCCAAATCCTACGCCAGAAGAACCACCCACATGGGAAGCACCCCATACGCGCGAAACCCTCTAGCGAGCGCGCCTGGGGAATCGAGCAGGGCAGTGCTGCCTGGCCAGCGCCCGGGACTGTTTTGCCAACGCCAGTCATGGGGGTCAGGGTGGTGCTTCGCCCCTTGGGAGGAGGGAGGGAGAAAGGGAGGGGTAGGGAACAAGCTAGGTGCTGGAGAGCATCGTCTTACTGGGTGTACTTCATGAGCTGCAGCAAGAGGCTGAGAAGGAGGAGGAAGCGGAGATGAAGAGGGAGTGGATGGAGGAGTCGGCCCTTCGCCTGGTCACCCTCCTCCTCCTCCTCCTCCTCCTCCTCCTCCTCCTCCTCCTCCTCATCATCATCATCATCATCATCATCATCATCATCATCATCATCATCATCATCATCATCATCATCATCATCATCAGCATCATCATCATCATCATCATCATCATCATCATCATCATCATCATCATCATCAGCAGCATCAGCAGCATCATCATCATCACCACCACCACCACCACCATCATATCATCATCATCATCATCATCATCATCATCATCATCAGCATCATCATCATAGTCATCATCATCATCATCATCATCATCATCATCATCATCATCATCATCATCATCATCATCATCATCATCAGCATCAGCATCAGCATCAGCATCAGCAGCATCATAGTCATCGTCATCATCACACTCAGTAGCAGCATCATCATCATCGTCATCGTCCTCGTCCTCATCATCATCATCATCATCATCATCATCATCATCATCATCATCATCATCATCATGAGAATCATCATCATCATCAGCAGCATCGTGATAATCATCATCATCATCAACATCATCGTCATCATGATCATCCTCCTCGTCAGCATCATCACCATCATCAACAACATCATCACCCTCCTCATCATCATCATCGTCATCATCAGCAGCATCATCATCGTTTTTCATTCTAAACATCCTCCTCCAAATCCTCATCATCATCACAATCATCATCATGACAATCAGCATCAGCAGCATCATCGTCAGCATCATCATCAGCATCATCATCATTATCAGCAGCAGCATCATCATCAGCATCATCATCACCAACATCCCCATCACCATCATCATCAGCATCATCAGCAGCATCACCATCATCATCATCGACAGCATCAGCATCATCAGTATCATCATCAGAATCAGCATCATCATCCATACCATCGTCGTCAGCATCGTCATCGTCATCGTTATCATCGTCAGCATCGTCGTGGTCGTCGTCGTCGTCGCCGTCATCATCATCATCAGCAGCAGCAGCATCATCATTATGATCATCACTATCATCAGCATCATCGTCATCAGCAGCATCTTCATCAGCAGCATCAGCATCCTGGTAATTAATGTGCGTAAGCATCACCACCATCATCAGCCTCATCATCAGCATCATCATCAATATCAGCAGCAGCATCATCAGCATCATCGTCGTCAGCATCAGTATCATCAGCATCATCATACTTATCATCGTCATTAGCATCATCATCATCATCATCATCATCATCATCATCATCATCATCATCATCATCATTAGCATCAGCATCGTCATCAGCATCAGCATCATCACCATCATTATCACCACCATCACCATCATCATCAGCGTCATCATCATCATCATCTGCAGCAGCATCATCATCATCATCTCCGTCGTCAGCGTCATCGTCGTAATCAGCAGCAGCATTAGCATTGCCATCATCGTTATCACCACCATCATCATCCTCACCCCCTGTTAGCCGCACAATACCCCAAACCCGAAACCCCTTCAGAACCTCCAAGAGACCCCATAATCCCTCAAAAAACAAAACGCTTAAAACAACGATGTGCTCCCAATCATTTCCCTCCTTATCATCATCATCATCACCACCACCACCACCATCATCATCATCACCATCATCATCGTCGTCATGGCCGTCATCATCATCGTCATCGTCATCGTCACCGTCATTATTATCCCATCACCATCATAAGCACCGTCATCACGATCGCCATCGCCATCATCGTCGTCGTCGCTGTTGACGTCCTCGTGCTTGTCCTCGTCCTCGTCCTCGTCGTCCTCGTCGTCGTCCTCGTCCTTCTCCTCCCCATCATCATCAAACACCGTAATCAAACTCGTGATTACCATCCTCCTCACCACCATCATCACCACCAGCACCACCACCACCACCACCACCACCATCTTCATTATCAGCATCATCACCATCCTCACCATAATCACCCTCACCGTCCTCATCCCCATCCTTTTCCTCATCCTCACCATGACCATCACCATGATCATTATCATCCCCCTCCTCCACCTCCACCTCCTCTCCCTCCTCCTCCACCTCCTCTCCCTCCTCTTGCTCGTCCTCCCCCGCCTCCTTGTCCCTGTCCTCCTCCCCATCCTCCTTCTTCTCCTCCTACTTGCTCTCCGCCTCCGCCTCCTCCTCCTCCTCCTCCTCCTCCTCCCTATCCTCCTCCTCCTCCTCCTCCTCCTCCTCCTCCTCCTCCTCCTCCTCCTCCTTTCTCCTCTTTCCTCCTCTCTCCTCCTCCTTGCTCCCCTCCCCCTCCCTCGTCCCCCGGGCCGCGCGCCCTCGGAGCCGCAGCAGCACCCGCCGGGGCGCCCTCTCGCGCGCGCACGCCGCGGGGGCGCCGCGCGCGGGAGAGGGGCCACGGGGAGCCGATCCAGTCGGGCGGGCATCTCGAAGCCTTCGCCTTAGGTCGGGCATGTCCCCCAACAGGCGGACTTCGGCGGAAAGCTGGAAAATGATCAAAAAATGCCCGAGAATGTTCCAAGATGGTCGAGAAATCGTCCCCCTTTATAATATTCTGGCTATTCCTGGATACTCCTCCTGTGGAGGGACATGCCCGATTTGAACGTCGTCGGCGGCGAACGAGGGGGGAAGTGAGCAGGAGAAGGCCTTCTAAGAAGGGGTGGAAAAGTTACCCGAGACGTACCCAACCCTTTTATCCACGCGGGGCGACTCTGTGACCGCTCCAGGCGAAAGAACACGTGGCGAGTTATGCGCGATCTGCGCTACCCTCGCCTCCGCCGTGCTTCCCAGGAGCCCCCGAGAGGGGCGACAGTTGCGCAGTTCGCAGCCCCTGACGGGGCCGCGCGGTCTCACAGTGATCTGCGCCGCTTGGAACCTGTCATGCAGTATTTGTCCGAGACACGTTGCTTGAAAATGTTACTTATGTTGCGGTCTGCGTGCAACAACCACGGAGAGTCCAGATTGTACAAAAGTTTGGGAACCACGATAGCGTCCGAGGTCTCACAGTGATCTGCGCTGCCCTCACCTCTGCCGTGCCTCCGGGGAGCCCGCGATAGTGGCGACGGTTGCGCAGTTCGCAGCCCCCGACGGAGCGCACAGGATGCAGGAGGAGACAGGCGGAGGAGGAGGCAGGAGGCGAGGAGGGAGGGGGAGGAGGGAGACGCACGAGCAGTGCTCCATTCGAAACGAGAACCCACAGCGCAGGAGGATCGGGAAAGAAATCGAGGACCCAGGTTCGACGTGCGAGGGTCGACGCTCTTCTGCGCTGCCCTTGTTTCGGGGGCGGCCAAGAGGGGGGCTTCCAAGAAGGGGGGGGCGCAAATCATGGCCCGCGGCATGTGCGCGGCCCAAGGGGGGGGGGAGGGGGGGACGCAATGAAAGAAGAGGAGAAGAGGAGGCGCCATGAAATCTGCGGAACTATCACGGCCCACGCCATGATATCCACCCCCCCTCTTGGCCAACCCCGATGGTTGCCCATGGGGTGTAAAGCCGAGCCCCGGGCGAAGTGGGCGAGACCTCCGGGGGCCCGCGCTAGTAGGTGTTGATGGCGAGCAGGCTGCACGACGCCTAGCCGCCCTCGCGCGAAGCGCGAATTACCACGACGCCGCAGGGCCTGGACCTCTTGGGGGGCCGGAATCTCCGCGGGCCCCCGCAGGGCCCCCAGAGGGGAGCGCCGAGGGGGGGGGGGGGGCGAGAGCTGCGGGCCCGAGGGGTGTGTTGACCAAGCCCCGCGGCTTCGGAGGTCTGGGAGCGGGAGGAGGAGGACGAAAGGGGGAGAGGGGCGGAGATCATCGATATACCCCGACCTCGAGGAGGAGGACGAGAGGGGGAGAGGAAGGGAGATCATCGATATACCCCGACCTCGAGGAGGAGGACGAGAGGGGGAGAGGGGCGGAGATCATCGATATACCCCGACCTCGAGGAGGAGGACGAGAGGGGGAGAGGGAGGGAGATCATCGATATACCCCGACCTCCACGCAACCTCGTGGAGGCGGGCACCAAAAAGTTGTACTTCGCGGCGCGCCGAAGCGCGAACAGGCGCCCCGTGGCCTTCAGGCACACCCCGGGCCTGCTCAAGATGCCGCCACGGCCTCACAGGCCAATCTTTGGCCAGATCTTCTTGATGTTGTCCTGGGAGGCTCACAGCCCGGGGGGGCGGCTCGTGATGCTCGAATTTCATCATAAGCATCCTCCTCCTCCTCCTCCTCCTCCTCCTCGGCCTCCTCCTCTTCCTCCTCCAACCCTTCCTCCTCCTCCTCCTGCTCCTCCTCCTCCTCCTCCTCCTCATCCTCCTCCTTCTCCTCCTCCTCCTCCTCTTCCTCCTCCTCCTCATCCTCCTCCTCATCCTCCTCCGCCTCCTCCTCCTCCTTATCCTCATCCTCCTCCTCATCATGCTCCTTCTCCCCCATCCAACTCATCCGCCTCTCTACCCGTCTCCTCCACCTCCCCGCCCGCCCCCTTCTCCTTCTCCCCCTCTTCGGGAGAAGCCCTAAGAACCCGAGCTCCCTGAACCGCAATGATGTGTTGCAAAAGTAATAACCGTTCAGCGCAGGCACTGTCAAAGCAGCAAAAGTATGAAGAGACTGGAACTTGCAGCCTCAAATCATAATAGGAGCATCACGTTACGAGAACACGGGTCAAGTATTACGCCGACCCCGCTTGCCGGGGGTGAAAATGCGTGTGACATAGTTGGCTTGGCTGTCCCCCCCCTTTTCCCCTCCCCTGGGACTCAAACTCGCATGAAACGGGGGTGGGAGACCAGGAACTCATCAACAGTGCGTGGCGCGACTTTCTCTGAGCCAAGAAAGCCCCGAGACGGGCCAAGAGGGCCCCAAAGGAACCCCAAAACGGTCCAAGAGGACTCCGAGTCGCCGAACGATCGCTCCAAGAAGCTCAAGATGGCCCCCAGACGGCCCAAGAGGTCTCCAAGACTCCCCAAGAGGCCTCCAAGAGGCCTCCCAAGAGAGCTGGAAGGGGCCAACATCATAATTGTTCTCAGGTTGTTTTACGGTTTCTGGATTTCTCGCCTTTTCGGATTCCCGAAGGCAGTGGGCGGCGGTGATTCGCCGTAGGCGTCTTCGATACACACCCTTTTCTTTGTGGTAGCGCCCACGACGGCCCAAGGGGCCCCCAAGACCGTTCGAGCAGGGCACCTGAAGCCTCCAAGAAGGCCCCAAGGCAGCCCAGGAGGGCCCCAAGACAGCCCAGGAGAGCCCCCAAGAGGGCCCCAACAGGAGCCCAGAAGGATAGATACGAACTGACATGTCGAGCCTTTCTCCCCAAGCTGGCCTCAAGAGACCCCCGACGCCCCCGAGGCGCCCACAGGCCACCCCAAGAAGCCCCCAAGAGGGCCCAAAGAGGGCCCAAGAGGCCCTCCCCAGATGCCCCCAAGATCCCTCGAAGAGGCCTCTGAGAGGCTTCCCACGAGCCCCTCATAAGCATCCAAGAAGCTCCTGACCCACTCGATGACTTCCAAGACCGTCGAAAGCACTCGCTCCTCTGGGGGTCGGCGGAATGGTGTAAGCCACTTGAGTAGCAATCTCACGTTACGAGAACATAGGTCAAGGGTTATCTAGAAACATCGGAGTCGTTTTAATCACCCCTCGTCGTGACATCGGGCAGCATCATACATAGTTGTGTTGGTGGCGACCATGCCAGTTGCGCCTCTGGAGAGGACGAAGAGCAGGTAGTGTTATGAATGCCATGACAATGGACACTCTAACAATCCTATCATTTAATTTAAAATGTGTTTATCATGTGTAAAACATGTTCTACAAATGATTCACCCATGCTTTATATGTGTAAAGCATGTTTGAAACATGTTTATACATCTGGAAATGGTTTGGCAGCATGCTTCCTCTCCATTAATCGATTTCCATAAAAGTAGTGCAACTGCTAGACACCCATTCGATCACGCGGCGAATGGTGTCGTGGCAAATCGCCATTACCCGAAACCCGTGCTGGCCCTGCTGAAGGGCCGCCGCCTCACCACGCAGCTTCTTCTCGTCGCATCATTCAACCCCACGGACGCCGGGCATGCCAGCCGTCGGGAGCTCAGCACTTCGTCGCGGCCATCCTGCCAACGCCACTGCGACTGCAATAATATAAGGCCTCCGACGTCGCAACTGCTCCCCCAAGCAGGCTTGCCAAAGAGGGGTCTGTTGTTGCGCGGGCGACGGGGCAACCCCAGTGCATCAATGACGCTAATATGTCTACAGCGCCGACCTTTGGGCGCCCGAAGAAGAAGAAGTCCTTGTCGAAACCAAACAGAAGAGCAAGCCCCTGCTGTAAGCAAGATGTGCGTAAGCAAGCTGTGCCACTCATAGCAGAGCTGCGCATAAATGCCCCGGCCTAAAAGGTGCCCTGCTTGTCCCGTGATAGGATACGCGGCCTGGCGGTGCCCGTCCAGGCCCGTTCTGCGCGACCCTTGGCGCGGGTGCCTCGCACAAAAGGTGTTGCCCGTGCCTGCTTGGGGGTCACGTGCCTCGTCTGCTCTGCAGTGAGCTGCTCAGCAGCGGTGTGCCGAGGTGCGGGATTCGATGCTGCACAATGCCGAACCATGCTGTGCGACGACATGCCATGCTGTGCCGTGCGGCGCCGTGCGGCGCTGTGCCGTGCAGCTCTGCACCGCTGCATGCCCTGCTGTGGTTTGCTCAGCTGCCCCGGGCTCCGCTTGGCAGTGCTATGCTGCATAAGGTGCCTGGCGACGTTACGCCCTGCTTCGCTATGCGGTTAGGAATGGCCGAGCTTTGCTGCACTCTGGTATGTGTTGCTGTGCATCGGAATGCTACTGCATGATATCCTATGATATGAGTTGCTGCGCTTGGGCGATTCCGCCCTGCCGAACAAAACAACGCTACGACTTGCCATGGAACTGTTATGTGTTGCTATTGTCTGCAATACTATGATATGAATCAAAATGCTATGCGGCCATATGTTATGATGTGCGGTGGAATGTCAAGATGTGGTCGGCCATGGCGTGCGGTGTCATTTGATGGCATGCACTGTTGTACGCTACAATATGTTATGCGGCACGTTGTACTGCTGTGCAAAATACGCTGTGTGTCGCCACGATGTGTGTACCTCCTTGTATACCATACCACGCATTGGTATGCCATTGGTTTCCAATATAGGCAATGCTGAGCTGCGCTGTTTCGTACTAGTCGATGCGCGGCGCTGCTATGTCATGATAGCCTGCTGTTGTCTTGCAATGGCACTCTAACTTGCGCAAGGCTACCAATGTTATGGTGCGCCATGCCATGCCATGCTATGCGTTGACACGACGTGCCATAGCGTGTGAATATATATATATAAAACATAGATGTGTGTGTATGTATGTACATACATATGTGGATGTATGTATGTATGTTTGTATATGTGTGTATGGACGTTTGTTTGTATGTATGTATGTATGTATGTATGTATGTGTATGTATGTATGTATGTATGTGTGTATGTATGTATGTATGTATATATGTATGAATGTATGAATGTATGTATGTATGTATGTATGTATGAATGTATGAATGTATGAATGTATGAATGTATGAATGTATGTGTGTATGTATGTATGTATGTATGTATGTATGTATGTATGTATGTATGTATGTGTGTATGTATGTATGTATGTATGTATGTATGTATGTATGTATGTATGTATGTATGTATGTATGTATGTATGTATGTATGTATGTATGTATGTATGTAGAGATCGATCGAACTGTACATACATATATGTGTATGTATGTACGTATGAATGTGTGCATGCATACATGCATGTATGCATGTATGTATGTTTGTATGTATGTATGTATGTATGTATGTATGTATGTATGTATGTATGTATGTATGCACGATATGATCGGGCATGCTACGCTACGGTAGGCCATAGCATGCAGTGCCATGCGATTATATAGTCCCTGTTGTGCTCGACGGCACTACGCAATGCATTGAACTGAGGTGCCGCTTGTTAGTCACAATGCACTGCATGTCATTCCGTCTCATTGCACTGCGCACGTGTGCCCTTCGGCGGAAAGAGAAAAAGCCCCGTTCGGGGTCGCGCTGGGCCAGTGCCGTCACGTGGGCCCCCGAGCTCTCGAGCCCACCCCTGGTGCCGCTGCTGCCCCATCCTGGGCTCTGGCTCTGCTCGTCCGCGTGTGGGCCGCAAGAGCGGCCCCCAGACACTTTGGTTCGTCGGCGGCGGGGCAGAATGGCTGCACCAGCGGTAGAGCTAAACGGGGGCGCCGACAAGCGAACAGCGAATGCGGCCCCCAGACACCCCCCAAAAAATGCGACTGCTGCACCCCGACGCCGGAGCGTCTGGCCTCGCACTGAGGTGCCGCTGGCGTGCCGTCGCACCGCTGGCCGCCGGGGCCGTCCTGCGCGATCAGCGTGATCATGGCGTGCGGGGCGATGCGGACGTAGAACGTCGGGAAGCCCGCGTAGAAGCGCAGCGGCCCGCCCTCCTGCGCGGCGTCTCCACAGAGGGGAGGGGGGGGAGAAGCAGGAGCGAAGAGGGAGGCTGACAGGGAGGGAGGGGAGGGGAGGGAGGGCGACGACAAGGAGGAGGAGGAGGAGGAGGAGGAGGAGGAGGAGGAGATCGGGCCTCCAGCCTGCGCCCCGTGGCGTCTGCGGGAGGCCGCCGGGACCCAGGCAGCAAGAAAGACAGAAAGCAAAAAAGGGAAGCACGGCACGCAGAGCTGGGAGCCCGAGAGCGGCTCATGGGCCCTCCCTGCGGCCATCGTCGTTGGCCCAGGGGGCCGTAGGGAGGGCCTCGGCTGCACGAGGAAGGAAGAACGGCATGGACTACAAGCCTCGCCAAAAAAAGTACATTGAGGCGCCATACAAAATCGGAGGGGGGGGACTGGCTCGGAGGGGAGGGGGAAGAACGACCTGGGATCGACGAGGCAGCGCCGAGAGATCGGCGAGGGGCTCCCCCAGCGGGGGAGGCCCCCACCCCTCCTGGGCAGGCGTTGGGGCACCCGGGCCCCGAGCGGTGAGGAAGGGGCGAGCGGTGCTCGATGCTCTCCACCCCATGCGCTGGCGGCGCCCCTGGTCACTGCACTGGCCTTGCAGACGTGCTGCAACGGATTTTTGCCAAGAGTTCAATGCAAAACCCCGAAACAGCGAGCGACAAACGACGCGAATCTCACGTGGCTTCTTTTGAGTCTGCACTCCTGGCCAAAAAATCCGCACGAGATCCACCTCGAAATCCGAAACGAAACTCTCCAGGACAAGCCGGGCCCATCCCACTGTCCCAGACCTCCGACGTCGTCGTGATTTTCTCACGACGTCGACCCCAAGAGATCTGGACCCCTGCCCTGGGACCGGTTCTTCATCCCGAGTCGTGTTTGACGGTCCCGAGGCCCGGGAAGGGCCCCCAGAGGCCGAAAATAGCCAAAAACCTCCCGTCGTGATTTTTTCACGACGCGAGGAGGTCTGGGGTTTTCCGAGCGAGATCCACGCTGCGATGTTGGCGCCACCACCTGGGGCGACCGCCCACGCGCCAGAGCCCGACGGCCCGGCCGTCGACCCTCGCAGCAAAGCGGCGGCGCGGAGGCACCGCGCTTCGGGCACGGCACGTCGCCTCGCGCGGCCCGGGATGGGGGTGGGCAGAGGAGGAGGAGCAGGAGGAGCAGGAGGAGCAGGAGGAGGAGCAGGAGGAGGGCAGGGAGAGAGGAGGGCCGGGGGGCGGGGGCTGGAGGGAGCAGGTCGAGGGGGGAGCGGGGGGAGAGCAGGGGAACCGAAACGTGGGGGGCAGGCTCGGGGGGGAGGAGGGGAGAGGGGGGGAAATGACTTGGGGAGGAGGGGAGGAGGGGAGGAGGGGAGGAGGGGAGGAGGGGAGGGGGGGGGGGACAAGCTAGGTGCGCTCGCGTCATATCTGACATCCTACCCCTCCCTCCCATCCCTTACCATGGCGCAGATCCCCTCTCTACTCGCACAGTCGGATGTCGAGCAGGGCAATGATCCCGAAGGGTACGCGATGCATTGTAGAGCACGGCATGGCATGGCGTAGAAGAGCACCGCAAAGCGTAGTATCAACCTAGCATTGCATTGCATGCCGTGGCATGGCACGGGAAATGACGCCAGCGCTGCAGCGGGAGCACGAATCGGAACGAGCGGAAGCGCGGAAATGAGGCCAGCGCTGCAGCGGGAGCACGATTCGGAACGAGCGGAAGCACGGAAATGAGGCCAGCGCTGCAGCGGGAGCAGCATTTTGGAAAAAAATGCAAGCTTTTTTGAAAAAAAATGCAAGCGAAAACCCAACTCCGGGGAAACCTGTGTGTAAAAAACAATACGCGGGGGGGGTCGGACACTCCCAGGCCGTCATCAGGGAAAGAGGGAGAGTAGTATTCATATTGAGTAATTGTGGAAGAGGGGAGGGGGTGGGGGGGTGGGGGGGGCGGGGGTATGGGAGGGGGGGGTGGGATGGGAGGGGGGGGGGGGGGAAGGCTCGGGGGGGGAGGAGGGGGGGGGGGGGGGGGAATGACGCCTTGTAATCGAGGATACGTCGCCGACTGATCGGCGATAGGCCCCTGACGGGAGAAACCCCCCACTCCTGGGCAGGTTGGGGCCACCCAGATCAAGATCGGCGAGAAACGCTTCCCCCCGGAGCAAGTCCCCCTTTGTCGGCGCCCCCTCTTAGAGGAGGGGGGAACGAACGAACTAGCGAACGAACGAACGAGCGAACGAGCGAACGAGCGAACGAACGAACGAACGAACGAGCGAACGAACGAACGAACGAACGAGCGAGCGAGCGAGCGAACGAGCGAGCGAGCGAGCGAGCGCGCGAAGCGTCTCCAGAAAGAGACGAGCCGACCAGCGGCCTGCGCAGAGCGTCCAGGGCCACTCGCCCGATCAGCCTCCGAGCTCTTCCGCGGTGTAGTCCATCAGCAGCAATAAAGCCGCCCTCCTCCTCCTCTTCCTCCTCCTCCTCCTCCTCCTCCTCCTCCTCCTCCTCCTCCTTCTCCTCCTCCTCCTCCTCCTCCTCCTCCGCCTCCTCCTAATAAAGCCGTCCTCATATAAGAATTGGAGACTTGGAAATGAGCACCAATACCGACACAAGGGGCTGCCTCCACCAGGGGACTATGATCCTAGATTCTGGTGTTGGTGGTAACCCTTCGGCCACCCAGGAAGCCCAAGTATTACCACCATCACCGAGATCGGGTTCCTCTTCCCTCGGTGGAGGCACACCGACGATATTGGTGCTGGTGTCAACCTTCAGGCCTCCGAACGAAGCGACGAGGAGCAGCAGCAGGAAGAGGAGGAGCCCGGAGCCGGGGCGTGAGGGGTGGCGAGCAGAGGGGCGCGAGCAGTGAAGCCACAAGTATGCAGCCTTGTTTTGTCAGCTGGAACTTTTACTTATGACCCTTGTCTTCGTCCGTCGCTGAGGCCATTGCGTTGGACGAAGCTGCCCAGGCAGTAGGCGCTCTATTATTGCGGATGCCATGACAATGGATTCTCGAACAATCCGATCATTGAATTAAAAATGTGGTTAAAATGTGTAAAACATGTTCTAAAAATGTTTCAAACGCGTTGTTACACATTTACAACATGTTTGAAACATGTTTTAGACTTCTGGAACTGTTTTGGCAGCATGCTTCCTCACCATTAATCGGCTTCCACAACTCTATTATCACTCCGTGCGCGGCCGCTGCTTCAGTGACTCGGGCTCTGGGGAAGGAAAGAAAGATGGAGAAACCAAAAGGTGCCGATGCCGCTACTCCCCGGACCTCTCCCGGGGTGCGTTCTGACCAGGATTTCGAGGCGAATCCAGCGGTGGCAACGAGGGCCTTCCAGAAGGCCCAAAAAGGGGAAAACGAGGGAAGAGTAGTGGTATGGGTACTCCGAGTTTCTTGATAAGCGTTGGGGGGCGTCACCCCCGCCGACAGCCCCACATCGACCCCCGTCGCGAACAGCCACCGCGCGCCGAAGGCGCTCCGACCCCCGTCGCGGCGCGACGACGACGCGAGATTGACCCACGTCGAGGGGGTGCCCCCCCACGCCTTTTAAGAAACCCAAAATACCTTTTCCTCCTCCGAGAAAAAGAAAGGAGGTGCCAGGAGGCGAAGGGAGGCGGCGAGGTGCCCCGCGAGAGCCGACGAGGGAGGCGCCCAGCCTGGACGAGGCTAAGCCCCGCGGGAAGCCCACCCGGTGGCGCCCCCAGGCTCCGTGCGGGCCTGCCCGGCTGGACCTCCGGCGTCGCCCGCGGGGAGGCCGAGCCCAGCTGGAAGCCCAGCCTGGCTGGAGGCCCACCGGCTGGAGGCCCCGACGGGACCAGCCCAGAGGACGCAGCGCCGCCCGAGCGGCGCAGGTCCCTCCGCTTCGCTCTCGCCTCCCCTCC